AGCCATGGAAGTTCGAAAAGCCAAACCTAAGTCTCCCTGGCTACCATACTGAGAGAAGACCTTCATGTTACTCATGGATGGCTTCCCGCAACCCACCCYATATCAAGGGTTTTCTTTATTTTGTTTTTTGGTTTTGGATTAAATGAAAGAATGCCTCTGAAAGTATTTTAGAAAGTAATATATACACTTGAGGTAAGATTGACAGCTCTAGTAGGCAGGAAGATCATTTTGTCCAGGACTGTTTCAGTTTTAAAACCAAGTTCTGTGTCCCAGGAAACCCTGTAGTCCTAGGCAAACCACAGCAGTTGGAACCCTGCCTGCCACAAATGTAAAGATATGGATATTTTCCAAGTTGGTGCCATGAACTTCCTACAAAAATGTGGATACAAACCTTTGGAGACTAACATTGAAAATGGTCCTGAATTGCTGGGATGGCACTGTTGCTAATATGGAACTGGTTTCTCTGGACAGGTGGGGATGCATTCCAGAGGAACTCAGACAACAAAGGAAGAGATGGAAATGGATCCGAAGCCTGACTTAGATTCAGATTCCTGGTGCCTTCTGGGAACAGACTCCTGTCGACCCAGCCTCTAGTCTCCTGAGCCTATATTGCCCCCAGGAAACTGGGATCCAGAATACTTCACAGCACACCTACCGAACGCAGAGAGCAGCTTTCCTGGCTTTGTTCACTTGCAGACAAGGAACGCAAGGCGGAGGCTCTGAAGCACTTTCCTAGTACATTTGGAGAGTGGCATTGCCTTTTAGATAGGATCTAGGAGTGATTTTATTGTTTTGGAGAATGGAAGGGCCCTATGGCCCTAGCTTTGTCACCAGTGACTGCCATAGCAGCAGCATACCTCATCTGTTGATTCCCCCTTTGAAGAGGAGACACGGTGCTCACTTTAATCGCGCTGGTAGCAGCTCATATCCCATTTGTCATTTTCATCGTTGATCGGAAGCTGCCATGGGAATTCAGCACCAGGCATTGTACCTCTGGGTGGGGGAGGGAAAAGTGTGAAATGGGGCAAGCTGGGACCATGTGTGGCCCACCCAGGTTCCTCTGGAGAGTGGCGAAGTATTCTGAGCCCTCTCAGGAGCCCAGAGTCCAGGAAAATGTCTGGTGGAGTCAATCTAGGGTTTGTTTTCAGAAAGTTCAATTACTTCGTGCAGCTAAATGCTTTAGGAGGAAAAGTGGGCTTAGAATGCTTTTCCTCTGAGGGTTGATTGAAATGTCTTCCGTGAGGAGTAGACAAAGGGCAGGTCCCGCCTCATCACACTGCTGGAGTTTCAGGCTGTGGCCAGTGCAGGGTGGGATTTCCCAGCTCTGAAAGATGCYTCCGAGAGAAGAGGTATCTCAGAGGGTTCAGTGGGGGCAGTGAGAAGAGCCTTAGGAAAATCACAAGGAGTGCCTCCATCAGTGCCACTGCCTGGTGTCTGAGAGGCATCAGGGTGACACTAAGTCTTCTACACCTAGGAAGCTTTTGTGCCTCTGCCTTTGTGGCTCTTCGAGGCCTAATCCCTTCCTGTATGTTTAGTCAGTATTTTTCCCCTTTTTGGTGTTTTTGAAGCCATGTCATAACCAGTGAATCTGAATCATCTTTCTTACTTGAGTGGCCCAAAGCCAGCACCAAACCCTGGAGGTCCCAGAAGCCTAACAAAACAGATTGAACCTGCCAAAAGAAAGGAGTTTGGCGGTGAGCTCACTTGTGATGTGCCTTTGTAGACAGGAGCACGAGAAATAGTGTCCTGGAAGAACAAAACTCCATATAGATAGTTCTAGGCAAGTGTTAGATGGTGCCCATGAGGATRTAGGCTTTGGGTTTCCACCAAGCCTTATAAAGTGTTCCTGTGGTAGTTAGGGTCACAGGAGCTGATTTGATGGTCTTACATCCTTCCTCCCTACAAGTCACAAATAGTTTTGTTTTCAAAAACCAAACAGATCTGTTAAATATTGCAGGAGGGCCTGTGTAAGGGAAAATCTGCTGTTTCCCTAAAATTGGTGGTATAAAGGCTGGCGCTCAGAGAAAGTCTCATCTCTGGGAATGGGCAACTCTGTCCAATGGGATCCTCTTTGGTTTGATGTCCCATTGTTTTCTCAATTCTGAGAAGAATAGTACATTAGTACTAATGTAGTCACTGAAGCCTTTTCCTAAAATAAGGGGAAGGCCAACCCTGAATTAAGGTTACAAGGTCTGAGGGTTTGCTATAAACCCTGACAGTTGGTTTCGGTTCATCATAAATGCAGCATTGGTTTCTCAAGGACTGACTGGCCTCTCAACGTTCCTGCATCCTGATGCTCACCATTTCAGCAGGCCTGAGCAGCAGGGCTAGTTTTGGTGTTCATCGTGGAGCTGGCTTCTGCTCTGGAGCTAAGGGATATGGGTACGTTGCTGAGACTGTGGGGTGATGGTAAGTGTTGAAGGGGGCTCAAAGCCCTTGCTTTGTTTCTAGAGGAGAGTCATTCCCTAGCCGTGGAACGCATTGGTCAGTTTTTCTAGCATATTTCCTAGGGAAGTCTAGGTTTGCTAGTAATCTGCCTGAGAACCTGAGTTCTGTGCCTTAGAGACAATTGCACTTTCCCAAATTGTGCCTGGGACAACATGATTTTTCCCACCAAACAGCTATGCAAACAGAAACCAGTTCAGAAGTGGCAGCCATGCGTTGGAGAGAGTGAAAGTCAAGACAGCAGAAGTGCCTTTGAATGGTTTCCTGTAGCTGATTCCTCCCCCCGCTTTGTCCTGCTTTTCTTCTTTATGCGGTGCTAGGTATTGCTTTTGAGTTACAGTATAACCTGAGTTACTCCTCTATGCTGACACTGTTGCAGAAGAACTAGCTTATTGTTAGCCAGATGCTGGAAAGGTTGAGGGTGGAGTGGTTTGGCATTTCTGTTTTAAATAAACATTTAAACTCTCAATTAGTGCTGTGCCTCAGTAAGCCTGCACATGGCCACCATCACTGGAGATAAAACACCCACATTCTGGATCTGAATCTTTGATTCCGTGAATGTTTATATAAATAAATAAGTGTTCTTGTAACAGAAACAGCACAAGGAACATTGCACAGAAATAATATCTGCTGCTTTTCCATATCTTATTCTTGCCAACAAAATCATTTCTGCTATTTCAACTTTTTTATGAAAACTTTGAAATGACAGTGCTGTAAGTTAAGAGGAAGGAAAAAAATAAGTTATTAAAAGAATGGTCCTTTCCTGTACTTACCTCCTTAGTCTTGTGGGGGCTTTTCCAAGTGATCATWTCAGTTTCTGTGTATAAAATTTTTCCCTCAAAGAGGCTGAGCCATATTTGGTCTCCCTGGCCTAGCACAGCCAAGTGACAACTGCTCTTGGCTAAGCATTTTGCTGAAGACTAAAACTCAAATTTCATTTGGTTCATCTATTCAAAAACATTCCTAATAGGACAGTTCCAAAGCAAGGATGTATTTTGGGCAAATCCATTCAATGCAGTCTCTGGGCCTCCAAGAAAGTATTAGAGATGGTAGCGTCAGAGCATAGCAGACAACAGTAAAACATGTCCTTCCTGCTGCAAAGCCAGAAATCATTTATTGCTTTAATGTTTAACTATGGAAATAAATGTACTGATCATTAAACCCCCCAGAACCATGAACATAAAGAGAAAAGCTCAACCGTCAAATCTCTGCTACCTCCTGGGTAGTGTAAAGAGTCATCAATCACCTGAAAGCAAATGTTGACCAGAAGGTGCCGTCCTGCATGAAATATGAAGAAATACTATCTCTGCACACACTTATAAATGAAGTGAATTTCCATGTGAGTTCCACCATGAGATTTTTCCCATAGCTTAACTTTTTGAACTTTTAAAATTTATAATGTTTACTTGGACTAAAGTTTCCTGGATAAAGTAATATAAAATATAGACATTTACAGGCAGCATTTTTGTGTCTTCTCTCATCCTATCCAGGAAGAGACTTAGAATTAAAGTTCTTACCTCTTCTCAAATCCAAGTCAAGCTAAATTTAAAAGACTAGTAAGTGAATAAGCAAGGTCTAAGAATATAGAGATCAAAGAGAACACCAGGCATTGACTATTGTTTTTATTTCTTTAGCAATTTAAGAATGAATTACTACTGCATCCATGTCTATAGAAAGCACTCTCTACATACATATTCACAGTTGATGGGTTTTGAGGACCTTAATGACCTCATCCAGGGATCCCAATCCCAGGTRCAGGGAGGCAGATGAGGCAAGTGACACAGGCCCCACCTGCTGCCGCCTCCACTGACGGAGCCAGTTTTTCTGAACCCCCCAAATTTGTCATTAGGTTGCTGGTTCTGTGTTTCCAGTTTTTCAAGAGATGTTCTGTATTCCAGTTTTTAAATGTCAGATTTTAACACTGTGCAGCCAAATAATACACAGCTGTGGGACAGAACTGTCCATAGGCTTCTACTCTGTAACCATGGCCACAGCTTATTCTTGGCCTCTATTGCTCTTAATATCAAGTGTGGAACTTGGTGTATTCCTCATTAAACTTGCCTGGGAAATGTAAATATTGGGTTAAGTAAATATCCATTGTGCCTATGAGCTTTCCTTAAGGACTCACTGATCTTTTTATTTAATTTTTTAAGTCCTCAAAACCCTTTAATTGAGGCCCTAACTTGCACTAAGCACTATTCTTCATAGAAAATTTAAAAGATCTGCTCCTTTTCCCTTCAAAGTTTACTCTCTAAGATAGAAATTGGACAGTGCTCTGGTCAGCAAGGACATTTGACACTATACACAGTCCCAGCTTGCTTTGATGGTAGATTTGTTGAATCAAAGTCATTCAGGCCAGGTGTGGAGGTCACCACATRCCTGTAATCATAGCTAGTAAGGATACTGAGGCAGGAGGATCACAAGTTCAAAGCCTCAGACATTTAGTGAGACCCTATTTAAAATTTTAAAAATAAATAAATAAAAAGAACTGATGATGTTTCTCAGTGGTAAAGCATCCCTAGGTTCAATCCCCAGTACCACCAAAAAAAAAAAAAAAAAAAAAAGTCAACAACCTAATTTGATAGCCAGAGGGCTAGCAGCTTCTTCCTTTTTCTTTTTTTCAACATATGAAACCTATTAGAATAAAGAACAAGTAGGGAGAAGAATAATGAGCTTCCTACCACGGTACCCTACCACCCCTACTCTGTGAAGTAAATAAAGATGTTTCCTTTATTATACAGTACAACACAGGGAAGGTTTAGGACATATTCCTGCCCTAACATCACATACTTTTTTTGGCATTTGGCCAGGACCATGCCCCAGGGAAGCCAAGGATAGATTTCTATTAATAATGCCTTGTGGCTGAGACTGTGGGGTGATGCTAAGTGTTGAAGCGGATTCAAAGCCCTTGCATTGTCTTTTATAAAAGTTACCATCTGGGTGATCATGGTCCTCTGATCCCAACTCCTCTCAAAACTTCAACTTCTTGCARGAGCCAGAAGAATTAACAGAAACCACACACATACCATGACCAAAAGGTACAACCAAATACAGGCATTTCACTAGTACAAACCACAGTCTGGCTTGCAAGAAGACAGCTTTAATGTAGGCTGCTCGCTGTTCTGTGTCTTCACCCATCAGTTCCTAGGGCAAAGCCATAAGGCAAACGGTAGAGATTTTAATTTAGTGGGAAGCTGGGTCTTCCTCCTGCCTCTTGCGGCCTAGCATTTGCTCTTATTGTTTCTGGCTCTGCAGGCAATTCTAGGTGATGTCAAAGTTTTCTTTTTATCTTTACTTTATATCAAATTGTTCTACTTCTGTTCATTGCTGTAGTAGAACCTTCTTAACTACTCAAGGATATTTCCATTATTGCCTGCTCAACTATAATGCTTCCGTGGAGGTGGAGGACGGTTCTTAATGGTCTTACACTTGGGAATGTGTCGCTCAGCCACTTTGGGAGCAAAGTGGCGGCTACAGTGAGGACACTGAATATAGTCTGGGTTTTCTGCAGGCAGGATGGTATGCAAGTCTGAGGGTTTTCCACCTTTGGCAATTATCTGCTGGATCTCCCGTGCATGACGGAGGGTATAGATGAAAGATTCGTGCTTCTGCCTCCAGTTGTTCTTCCGAGGAGGTTCAACCTATAATGTAAAAAGAAGACTGGTCCTTCAAAGTAGTGTTTGTCTTATCTCCTTCCTGAGTCTCCATGTGAAAGACAGTAGGAAATAAAAAGGGTGTTTATCTACACGGTCAAAGAGAACAGAAAAGGAGCAATTGTGATAACTCATTTGTCAGAATGGAGGCATAGATCAACTGCCTGCAAGGGAATATAATACTAGGAGGCAAGTCGTTCTCAGCAGAACACCTGAGAGGATCAGTGCTTGAAAGAACCAGGCAAAGGGAAGCACGGAGATACAGGGATGAAAACATGCCAGACCCCAGGGCTCCCCTCCCTTTGAACATCCAACACTCCCAATAACCTCACATAAGAACAGGGTTTTTTTCCTCTGGAGAAATTGAACTGGATGGATTTCAGACTTGGGAAGTCCAGACAGGGTAGAGAACAGGGTTAATCTTGGGCTTGAAAATGCAAGGATATATATATAGCAAATTGTGCAACTGTCAGCCTCCACCCCACAACTCAGCTCCCAGAGTAACAATCACTTTTGTGTTCTCTTAGGGAAGAGGAGCGTTCTCTGAATGCACCAARCAGTGCAGAGAAAAGCCTCCAGACTGACCTTGGGGCACCCAATTATAAGATTCTGCTTGATAATCTTAACAAGGCCCCTAGTCAACAAGGCCTATGTAATCATAAATATGAATGGACAGCCAAAGACCACTAGATATTTGATGAAAGCTCTAACAAGGAAAAGACCCCCCCAAAAAAAATGTAAAATAAAGAAAACCTCAGGAAACAGCAACAAGAAGAAAACTTTTTACAGAAAAACATCAATAAAATGAATCTTAGAAGAGAATGTGTCCATAAAGGAATCTATTAAAAAGCAATGACCCTAGGCTGGGGATGTAGCTCAGTACTATGGCATTTGCCTACCATGCATGATACTCTCAGTTCAACCCCTAGCACCACCAAAAAAGAAAAGGGGAAAAAATCAGGAACAATCAGAGAACTAGACCTATTATATATGAAAACTCTCATAGCTAAACCTAAAAATCAAGTAGAAGTGTTATAAAATAATTTCAAGAAAATTCCTTGGAATGGGAAAAAAATTCAAAATAAAAAGTAGAAAAGATCAGAAAATTAGAAAACAGGAAGTCCAACATATGGCTAACAGGAGTTCCAAAAAGAATAGAGAAAGCACAAGGAGAAAACTATCCAATAAATAATACAATTAACATTTTTAGAATTGAAGAGTACAAATCTTGAGACTGAAATGGCTTACTGTGTATCTAGCATAATCATCATAATTTCATCTGTAGTTTTGTTTTKTTTTTTTTTCCTTTGGTGGTTCTGGGGATTGAACCCAGTGCTTTGTGCATGCAAGGCAAGCACTCTGCCAACTAAGCTACATCCTCCCAACCATAAAATTTCATAATAAAGAAGATCCTGTAAGCTTTCAGAAAAAAGAAAGAAAACATTTCATATAATGGAGCAAGAATCAAAATGGTGTTAGATTTCTCAACAGTAAATACTAGATGCTAAAAGCTAGTGGAAAATATCTTTAAAGTTCTGATAAAATCATTCTCCACTTAGAATTCTGTACCCAGCCAAATTGTCAAAYAGGAGTCTATTGTATAGATATTTTCACTCATTCCAAGACAAAATAATTTACCTCCTGTGAACATTTCTTAGCTTTCAAAAGCAAGAAAAAAGAAGGCAGAGGATACTGAAAATAGAGGATCCAACACAGAAGAGAAGCTAAGAGAAGTCCCCCTAAAAAACAGGTCTGCACCAGGCCTGGAAAAGAGCCAGTCCAGACTGAAGCAAGAAGAGAAAGAGTAGAGGAAAGGGGATTTTCAGGAAAATGAAACTGGTGCTAACGTTATGAGAGGTGTTTGAGCACTTAAGAAAACATAAACAGATGTCTGACATCAGATGGATCTCTTAGGAAAAATAAACTAGAGATAGACATGTAGAAGATGAAGGAAATGAAAACATAAGTCAGTTTTTAACTCGAGGTACATGTGGACAGGGGCAAAATTTGTTCTCTCATCAGTGAACAAAATGTAGACGGTCAGATAAAAAGCCAACTAATGAATAAAACCCAAAATAGTGATTCAGCTACAGTGAAGGAAAAGGGGTGGAAAAAAAGTAAGGGCAGTGGAAATAGGATATTCTTATGGAATTTGCAGTTCCATAAGAAATCACCAGATAATGCAGAATATTGGAAAATCAAGAAAATAATCATATTTAGGATATGTAAATATTCTAAATATGATATGCATATCAAAAGAACCATGTAACAGAAATGAGGGCTGGATGAAAGGTCAGTGAAGAATACCACTGATCTGCACTGGGGATGATTTTAGTACTATATGATTTTTTAAATGCATGCAAATATTAATTAAAATTAATCTTTAAAAGAAGAAAAATAGAGGTCAAAAAGCTCTTGATAACATTGAGAAATACTACCAAAGAAAGAGAAAGGATCCATTAAGAAAGTCTCTTACAGAAACAGAGAAGGCAGCAAAAGAGTCAGTGKTAGAGATGGTGTCCAGGGACCTTAAAGAGAATTCAATTAGGGGAAGCTTCCCTAAACATGCAATATCTATCTTTTAATTATTTATCATAATTAATTTTACTCAACACTGTAAGCACAAAACACAAAGATGTGTGTGTGGTTCCTGCCTCAAATGCTTACCTTCCAGTAGACAARAGATACAAGTAATATAAAGATAAAAGGATATCCAGAAAATCACTTGTTCTTGGGAGTGCACTAGAGGAATGACAGCTTCCAAAGGCAAAGCGGTTTGGAATAAGCCTTGAGGCATTCTCAGGAGTGGGTCCATCTCAGTCCTGTCTTGGGGTCCGCAATGCAACACATTCCCTCAAATTCGTTTTCACAAAGGTGGGGCATCTTGACCTCAGAAACCTAATTATTTTGCTTCATTGCTATTATATTTAGGAATTTAAAAAGCACAAGATTCTTTTAGGTTGTGGCCAAAAATAAATTGCTATGGTGGGACAAAGGATTCCCCAGTGGATTACTGAGTTAACCAAAAAGAAATCAAGAAAGAACAGTAACTGGCCATCCTGTCATTATCTGCTGGTGCAAAATGTTGGCTTTGTGTTGGAAGCTATATTTCAGGGAGATCATCTTTTCTGAGAGAAAAGAACTTGAATATATCTCTTAATGGCCATCACATCAATGTGAGTTTTGGAAGGGCCTCAGCAAATACACACATAAACTAGTAGATGAGAGAGGTGCCTGCACAGCAAAGAAATAAATACAGAGGACAATTTCATTTTCCTTGAACATTAGAGCTAAATGGGGCCTTTGAGATCAATCGTATGGCCTAGGATCTCCAACGCTGACAACTTTGTTTTCTTTACTACTATTCTTTAAATTCATGATCCCCAGATATTATAATTATAGCTTAACATGTTTTTGTATTTTTCTAATATTCACAAAAACTAATATACAATGCTTTGTCAGCATTTTAGAAATATTCATATTACAAACCAAGTTGTACAACCTTGACAATCAGGTTATTTATGAGACAATCTCCTCCACATCTGTCCAAATATATCTATGAAGTTCCCCTGAACTTACTATGTCAGTGTCTTGAAGCCCATACATTTTACAACCTGGTTTTTCTAACAGGAGGAATTTTGGGGGAGATAASCAAAAACAGATAAACCAAAAGGTCTCCAGTACAAAAAATAAAAATAAAAGTCCCTATCTTCAAGGTGTTTACACTCTGAAAAGAGAGAAAAAAAATTCAAATGTAGTTGTGCTTCTTATATTTACTAAGAAGCTAATCTAGAAATAAAAGATAGAGSTAAAGGAGTGGTGACAGATGCTAGTCTTGGACGGTGACAGCATATTGCCAAAAGCAAGGAGCCAAGAAAATGAACATAAAATGCTTCATAGTTTTTCTTTGGGTGTTTCTTGTTTTTAAAAAAGTTTCTGTGGTATAAACATGTACTACTTGTATAACCAAAAGGGCACCTACTTCTTTAATTCTAGATTTTTTCAGCCCAACCAAGATTTAGATATTGGCCCTGCCACTTAAAGCTATGACCTCAAGAAAGTTACTTGATGTGTATAAGCCTTGGTGTGAGAGTGTGTGTGTGTGTGTGTTTGAGTGTTTAGGATAGGTCTGAGCCTTGATGTCTGAACTGATAAAATGAGAGATAATGTCACCATCACAGAGTTGTAAGAATCCCATGAAAAACTCCTGTCATGGTGCCTGGCACATATGAATGCTCAACAAGTATTAATTCCCACCTTCAGCCTACAAGACACATGAGTTTTCCCTAAAGAAACCAGTGAGAACATAATAGGTCCTCACAAGGATCCATATACAAAGTCAAATCCACAAGGTTTTTATTACCTTGACTGCAGCTGGCCCCTTCCAATTCAAGTACTGCTCTAGCTCCGTGCCTTTAGCCCGGGCCCTGGAGGAGTCGAACACTTTCCTCTTGGAACCCTGCATCCTGCCACAGATTGCAGAGTGTCTCTCCAGCCTGAGCAAGAGAAATTTGCGTCCACAGTGGCTGCACTTGCCCAGTTCTGGCTCTTCAGTAGAGCAGCTGGAACCTGAGGAGCCTGGTGTCCTGCATGGGCTAGAACTTCTTGTGGATCTCTCCAAATCGCTGCTTGGTTCTTCCAAAGGCTGAGAGAACTTTGCCACTAATGGCCCTGAGGCTTGGTCTCGGATTTTGTTGTTGCTTGCCACCAGCCTTTCCCTTTTAAGCCTCTGGATTCTATAATCAGATAACTGGAATGAACTAAAATTTTCTTGAGGCTGTCCCCAGGCTTCATCCTCTCTCCTGTCTCTACTAAATACCTCTTCAGACCCAAATTGTGGGGAGAAAACAGGTTTGTATGTTGTGTTGCTGTTATCAACTTTAACTTCCCTCCTGGGAAAGATCATTCTCTGTAGCCCTCTGTCTTSGTTTCCCTTGGCCTGTTCTTTTACCTTCTGGATCCTTCTAAGTTCCTCTTCTATCTTCTTCAGCTTTTCTCTCAGGAGAATCTCCTTTCTTTGAATTTCCTCCTCTAAGCTCTCCCCTGCAGCTTCCAATCTTTCGATCTGCAGCCACTCAGTCCTTCGGAGGTTTGCCCTGGCCTTCTCCCGCTGCAAGTCAGCAAGAACAGATGAGTTCACCCCATTCCTCAAATCAAAATTGCTGTCTGTAAATTCTCTTGGCTCAGGGGTTCTTAGGCAGACATTCTGGTCCCCATCAGTGCTGGCCTCACCTATACTATGATACTTGGGGTGGACCATGGGTTTCAGTGGGTATGCCCGGTCCACCCCAACTCGCTTTTTTGTAAAGGGGATGAAGTCCTGGTCATTTGCTTTGGGATATCGAGATTGAGAACTTGGCAAACCCTTTCCTTGGCCCAGGAGATCACTGCCCATGTCTCGCTGGCTAATTCCAGCATAGTGGGGATAAGAGTAGCTCCAGGCTGGTGTGCCGGTGTTCGATTTGGGTTGAGAGTACAGTGCCAGTTCTTGGTTGCTCAAAAGCTTCTGCTGAAAATTGTTCTGCCCCATCGAGGATCGCTGGGAAGAGTCACCTTGTTCATAAGGGTCTTGCTTGGCTGAGTGGAGCCCTGGAGCTTCCGTTTTATTATGTGGGAACATAACGCCCACAGGCAGATGTGGAGCCAACTGGAGACCAGCCATTCAGGGCCTGGACTGAAGCCTAGGGAAGATTTAAACCAGATACATGTGAAGAATTTGTTTGAGGTTCACTCCCGGCTGCTAAAGTAAACTGTTTCTACATTTGCCCTGCCCACATTTCCCTTTAAACTTTTCTAGGGACAGTGGAACTGATTCTGCCAGAGATTCCCTTCAGTGAACATATGGTGAGTGATGATCAAGTGTCAGACACTGTGTTAGGCCCTGAGGATAGGAAAATGAACATGATACAGGTGTTCCTGCCACTTAGGTTTCCTTTCCACCAATCCCTGCCTCTGCCATACGTTATTATGAAAGAGGTAAAACAGCACTGGGTTGAAGGTCAAGTTTTAGACTCTGACACAGAACAACAACTTCTCTTGCTGGCCCCAGTTTCTTCACCTGTAAACGAAACGTTTTACAGGTAAGAAAATTGAAACCCAGTGGCTTAGTGCAGAGTTCTCAGGGCTTTCCTCCTGAGGAAATTCCTTTATCCAAGGAGTCCCCATGGCACAGACGGTGGAAGGCCTGTAACTTGAGAGGTGGGGGCCATTTGACATGGCCATGGCCGGGTTTGGATTCGGAACGGGAAGTTATGTTCTGTCCAGGAGGGTCAAGCGGGAATCCTCACTGGGCACTCCGCTTTGGGGGACAAGACCTCGCTCTCCTGCTCCTAAGGCCCTCCGGAGGTCAAGGTGCTGACCCCAAGTCTCCTCTCCCTTCCCGGTACCTGAGGCTCTCGGCACCGCTCCAGCTTATGGAAAACCCCAGGACCTAGCTTTGGAGACCAGACCTTTCAGCAAACGACAGCCGCGCAGGCGCCTTTAGCTGGCCTCTGTTATTCCAGTTGCCTGGAGACCTGAGCGGGGGCGCKCCCCTCCTCGCCTCTCCAGCGTAAGTCCACTTGGGAAGCGGGCGCAGGCGCAGTCCGCACGCGGTCCAGAGCGGCCGGGGCCAGTGGGGTGCGGTCGGTCTCAGTGTCACTTGACCCAGTGTCCAGCCAACTCTGCAGCTCAGTTCAGCCCTGCCCTTGGGGAAAGGGGGAGGGGCAGGAAAGGCTTTTCTGGGGCTCCATCAAAGAAGAACTTGTATTTTTTCTGAGAACGATGCTCCCTGACCTTGGGGTGTGCCGGTCTCTGGCAAAGGGCGGAACCCCTAGATGTGCCCCAGAGTCATCCCGCCGCAGGATTCCGGTATCCGCCTGGTTAGCCGGAGTGGGCCTGCTGATAGCCTTTCTTAGCACGCTCGGCTGCTCTGCACGGGCCCCAGGTATGGCTATATGCTCTCCGTGCTTTCTTCCCTTGCCAGTACTTTGGAGCTTGCTGTCAATTTTTCTTTTTTTTTTTTCCCTACGCAGTCTTTCCGGGGTAGTTTTTGTGGCCAATCTAATTATTTTAATATTATAATGTTTTCTCTCACTTGGTAACTCTGGACGTCTCTACTTAGGGCTCAGGAATGACTCAGCCAAATGTAATGATAATAAAGTTAACTACCGGATCGGAAATAATCAGGCATAACTTGGTTTCAACACTAAATGATACTCTAACTTTTTGACATCAGAAGAGAATTTATTTGTCTTCTTCATGCTTCAGTTAATTTGGGTAAGCTGTTTAGAACAGGCAGCTCACTTTTTCCCTACTTAAAAGATTCCAGCACATGGAAAACAATGTAGACAGCAGCAGTTGGTGTTAGCACTTCAGCATGTCAGATTGGAGCCGTCACATGTTAACAAATTTCTTGGTGGGCCCTCCAAGGGCAGTTCTTTTATTCCTAGTTGACTCTTCTTTTTCTTTTTCTTTTTTTTTTTTTTTTTTTTTTTTTTTTTTGTACCAGGGATTAAACCCAGGGCTACTTAACCACTGAGCCACATCCCCAGCCCTTTTATGTATTTTTTATTTTGAAACAGGGTCTTGTTAAGTTGCTTAGGGCCTCACTAAATTACTGAGGCTGGCTTTGAACTTTCCATCCTCCTGCCTCAGTCTCCTCTGCTGCTGGGATTACAGATGTATGCAGATGGGAACATACCCTAGTCTGCTTAGGGCCAGGTCATCTCAGCCTCCCCCTGTCTCTTGTCAACTTCCACAGCTTCCCGGCAAGCTAGTAGAATTTCCCAGCATGTTACCCTCCCTCTGACTGCCTTCCCTCTGCTTTCTGAGAAAGAAGGGCCTCTCTCTTGAATTTCTTTCTTTCAGAGCCCTCAAGGAATTGACTCCATCACTTTACCCCTCCATCTTGCTAATCTCCACAGGCTCCTTTTCTTCCGTGTTAAAATACATATAACTGTTCCCTACAAAACAAATCTCATTTCCCTTGACCTGTCACCTCTATATTAGGATCCCACTCATTTTCCCCCCCCACCCCTAGGGGAAATGGAACCCAGGGGTTCTCTACAACTGAGCTCCACCTTCAGCCCTTTTAAATTTTGTATTTTGAGATAGGGTCTTGCTAAGTGGCCAGGTTGGCCTAGCGCTTCCTGCCTCAGCCTCTTGGGATTACAGATGAAGGCCACCACGCCCAGCTCCACAAGAGTTCTTAATGGAAAACTRCATTTGCTGCCCCCCCACCACACTCATTGTCTGTTCCACTGTGGTCTTGCTGCTACCCTCTCCAGTTTATTTAATTGCATGGCTGCCAGTGACCTTCTCATGACCAAAGACAAGCTTCTCTTTCAAGCCTACTCACTTGACATTATTGATTATTCACCACCTTAGAACTCTTTTCACTTGCTCCTGGGCCTTCTTGGTTTCTTTTTTCATGTCTTTGCTCCACCTTCTTCCAGGTCTCTGGCATTTATGTCTTTTTTCCCACTTGTTCTCTAAATTTAGGTGTTCTCCTGAGCCCTCTTTCTTACTTTTTACATATGTGCAGTTCCAGACATTCTCTTCCTTTTATCAAATGCTGAAATTTCAGGTTTCACCTATGTTTAAATGCTGTCCAGCTGAACTGTAGCCTGTCTCCGTAGTTAGAATTTTCCAACTGCCCATTTAACACCTGCACATGACTGAGCCTCAGGAACCTCAAGCTCAGTGTGACAGAACACAAAGCTCTTAATCACCTCTCTATCCCCAGTCTGCTGCTTCTCCATATCCCCACTCCTGCTCAGAGCAAGATTCACCTTCCACACCTTCCTTTTATCACCTCATTCTTCTGACTGACCTGCAGGTCCTGTTGAGTTTGCTTCTCAAATGTCTCCCATAAGTAGCCCTTCCTGCCAGGCACCGTGGCAATGGCATATTCCTGTAATCCTAGCTACTAGAGAGGCTGAGGCAGGAGAACTGCAAGTTCAAGACCAGAACTGCAACTTAGTGAGACCCTGTCTCAAATTTTTAAAAGGACTGGGGATGGAGCTCATTGATAGAATGCCTGTGGGTTCAATTCTCCTTACTGTAAATAAATACATAAATAAAGTTCCTTTGTTTTTCGTGCCCTAGTTGAGTTCTTCCATACTTCTCATTGGGATGCTATCATGCTTCTTACTGTTACACTTGCCTTTAACATCTGCTCCCAAACCCATCCTTCTTGATGCTGCCAGACTAATGAGTCTAAATACTTCTTTCTTGGCTTTATTAAGATTTTGTTGAGGGGCTGGTATGTACCTCAGTGATACAGCACTTGTCTAGTATGCATGAAGCCCTGAAGAAAAAAAAAAAGATATAATTGAAGTCAAGTATGCTGACACACATTTGTAATCCCAACTAGCCTGGCTGCTGAGGCAGGAAGATCACAAGTTCAAGGCCAGCCTAGACAACTTAGCAAGATCCTGCCTTAATTTTTTTTTTTTTAAGGGGACTGGGAATATAGCTCAGTGGTACAGTGCTTGCCTTGTATGTGCTAAGGCCCAAGGTTCAATGCCCAGTACTGCAAAAGAGAGAGAGAGATAATCGAGAWAATTGACAGGGGCTGGGGATGAAGCTCGGTGGTAGAGCATGTGCCTAGCATACGTGAGGTCCTGGGTTGGATTCCCAAGTACCACATACACACTTTTWATTTATAAATCTATAAATAAAAATTGTATATATTTATAGGGTACAATGTGATGCTTTGATATATGTATACATTGTGAAATGATTAAATTTAGCTTACTAAATACTGATCCTATCATTTTCCTCTCCTGGTGAAGACTCCTTCACCTATAGAATGAAATTGAAATGCATATTTAGCATGGCATTTCTATTAGGTCCAACCTATCTTTTCATCCCTGCCTCCCCTGAATAAACCCCAGCGTCTAGCCTAGTAGGTCTCAACCCTGGCTGTGCATTAAGATTTCTTAAAAAGCTGGGCACTGTGTAGTACATGCCTATAATTGCAGCAACTTGGGAGACTGAGGCAGGAGAATCACAAGTTTGAAGCCAGCCTGGGCAACTTAGCATGAAACCTTCTCTCAAAATAAAAAGCAAAAAAAGTACAAGGATGCAGCTTGGTGGTAAAGGGTCCCTGGGTTCTTTCTCCAGTACAAAAAAAAAAAAAAAAAAAGTGCTCAAAGAATATATATCTTGGGTGAGGCTCAGGCATCCATAGTTTTAGAAGCTTCCCTAAAAGTCCTAATATGCAGGCAGGGTGGAGAGCCCCTGGTTTAGCTGTGGTGACTTCTTGTACTGTCTCCTCTCAGTGGTACCACCTTACCACAAGCTCCACAAACTGGGTGGTGGTAGTCATCGAATTTTGGGGAATGGACTCTGGACTAGCTGCCTGGAATCAAATCATCAAATTGTGGTCATGTAACTCTGGAAAACTACTTTCCAAGAACACTTTCCTAGTCTTCCCAGTCAGAATTACTCCCTGCTCCTTCTAACATTTTCTATCTGGTTCATATTGAGCAGCTCTCAGTAGGTGTTCATGGAATTGAATTGCCATGTCATGCATTGAATTATCATTATGTGCAYGCATATTTATCCCTTACACTAAACTGAGGGCAAAATTATATATTATTCATCTTTGTATACCATATGATCCCCCATACATTGAGACATTCAATAAGTTTTAAATTCCGGAGAAAACCTTTTTTTAAAATGAATTTTAAAGAA